CAACAGTGTAATTCGCTACGCAACAAGCTCAATTCTTTCTTGTGGTTCTCCTCCATTTCGGCTCTCTTTCTCAACTCTTGCTTGTTGGTTTTTTCCATTTCTCGACAGGCCTAGGAAGTGGCCATTAGACATGTCCGGTGATCTTCTATCACCATCTAGGTTATAATACGTCACCATCTAATAGCTTGTTCTGTACCCACATGGTAGAGTCACGCCTAGTGACGTCATCCCTGTTAAGGACTATTTATAGCCAGAGCAGTGCATCGCTCGTCAGTCGCAGCGGTACTGTCTAGCCGTCATCTTGCTAGCCGCTCCTCCGGCACATACTTGTGCTGTACCTGTCAATCCCCGTCCTTCTGTACTCACCGAGCCAGTTTATTATTATAATAGTTCTAGCATTAATCGTGTTTCACTTGTCCTGCCTTAGTCATACTTGGAACAATAGTACCCAGACCCTCAGTACAAATCCATCAGGTGGTCGCAGAAACAGACACCTGACAGACAGTTGACATGTGTTAATTGTTCGCGGTAGGGGAGGAGAGTTTGCGAATGGAACAAATAACCACAGAACTAATTTCAATCGAAAACAAGAAACAAATGAGGAAAATTTGTTTCAAAAATAAATCTAAATAAACACTAGAAGAATCTCAGTAAGCACTAGTTACGCGTCGCGGAATGCGAAACGCTTCATTTTCTGCAGCTGCGTCCATTACCTTAAGCCAAAAAAGAAACTTAAAACATGCGCCAATGCGTCGTTATGACATTTAGAAAACTTGAGAAAAATAAACGAGGAGTATCAGTTCGCAAACAACTGCAGGCTTGTTACAATGTATAGCACATAAGTTATTTATCCACACTGTATCTTCACAGAACGTTCCTCGTTTTGTCTCAGTGTCATGGGTATGAAATCATTGATTTAATATTCACCTACTACAATTAACTGTCATAGTAACTTGGTATGTGTTGTGATCATCTCATAAGTAGAAGAGACAATAGCAGCAAAATTTTACGGAAGGCTGGAGGCCGTACGGCATGACAACCGTGTCCAGAGATCACCTTGTAAAAATAAGTTCATTTCTGCAAAAAACGTGGCAAAATGTGCAAATTTGTATTGATGTTTTCAAATTTGAGTATTTTCGCGTTTCGAATTATAATTTCTTAATAATCTTAAATTTAAATATTTCGAATGGACTCATTTTTATGACTTTATAAATACCACACGCTGAACTTCATCACTTCTCAATTTAATTCAGAGCTACGCGGCTTCTCTCTTGCACATTTCAACTCAGAGCTGCACAGCCACACTTCTACGCTCTTTAATTCAACGTTGTGAAGCTACTCTCACAAAAACATGCAGTCAAAGTTGCACAGCTGCACTCTTTTATACTGTAACTTGAGTCGTAAGATATACAGCCACATTCTTTCACACTGTAATTTAAATCTCCGCCGCTACACTCATTCCCACTTTAATCCTAAGCAGCATTTCTACACTGATTTTAATTTAAGTATCTGGCAACCCATGTAAAATCTCCATTTCAGTACAAAGTTACTGGCTACATTCATTTCAATTCGAGAAGTAACCTGCTGTGCTGCGATATCAACAATCTCTACATCTGCCCTGCAGCACATAGAACGCCAGTCAGCCTAGCCAGCGGCTTCTGTCGCAGTGCAGTTGTGTCGGAACGACAGTGTGGACTCCTCGAAGTGAGGTTCCCGTGGTGGCTGAGCCAATAATTAAGCAACCGTTTTCATTTAATTCATTGAATACATTTTTCCATTCACTTACTGCCACGACAACTTTGAAACAATACACACAATATCCCTATCATGGTACTCCCGCAATTGTGCAGCAGTAGTGATGGTATGCATACGAATTTGTCGAAATAAACTTTTGTTTACCTAATCTAGCCCAACCTAGCTTAACCGCACCTATCCAAACATCCTACAATAGTAAAACCTTGCCTAACCTAACCTCCCCCAAGAAAGGTTTGGTTAAAGTAGCTTGTTAAGTGTTCAAGCACTGAAACCAACGACAACTGTTTGATTGTGTTGCCAAAAGAATAATAATTTATTTGGTCATGCATAAGTGTCATTTAGTATGAAAATACCAGAAGCTCCAACAATCATTTCATTCTATCATGCTGGAGTGTGCAACAAGAATTGTGTGGGAAACGTATATATCAGATCGATGCAACACTTAAAATACAACTTTATACCATAACATGTTCATTGGTGGCAATTATTTAAGGGCTCGGAAAAAATCAGGTTATTCAAATTTAGATGGTATGTAGACGATATCTTGAGTATGAGGAGTTGATGGTGTGATGGTCATTTACGAATTTTGATAGAAGAAAACTAGGCGGAGTGTAACTTTTATCATAGAAACCGCCACTAAAAATCATTTACACGTAGCATAAAAATAGTTCACGAAGTTTAACAAAGAAATTATGAAAACATTTAGAAAATATCAGCTGTCTCACATTAAAAGGTTCATTTTTAATGACATAATAAAGTTTGTTTTAATGTTCTGTTCAGCTGAAGTGTATAATTTGATGTAATCGAATCCTAATAATTTCAAATTATATAAACCCTTATTTTCATTGTGAGTATGCGTACATTCACTTTCGCTTTTAATAGCTATAAATTCATGCTTGGGACTTATATGAAATTGTATTTTTCTTATTTAATTTAATCGCTAAAATGTTTCACCATAATTTTATCGAACAGGCAGAGAGAACAACATTGTAAAGTTCGGTAGTATAAAGATAACAACATCGTGGTGCGATCGACTAATATTTACTTCCCAAAAATTAAATCCCTAATTCGACTGAAACAATATGTAAATGCATAATAATGATTTAGAAACAATTAGATGATGAACCAATGAACAACGGGGTTCATGGCAAATGAACCCCAAATTCATTTTTGGTATAATTTTTAAAACAATTCAATAGTATTTAGTTCGCATATTAGCTCAATGTACTAATGAAAATGATGTAAAAATACTTTAAGCTAAATTTAAATCTGTTTATGAAGAAATCATTGGAAATGATCATGGTTGAAGAAAATTTGTTTTAAAAAACTGAGTTAAAACCAGTTCATTCTGAGTAACGAAATTTTTCTAAATGTAATGAAATCACGGCCTGGGAACATATGTCTGCAAGCAGATTAGCACAAAATTCATATTCATATAATATCTATTAGTAACGAAATTGATAATAAATTGAAAAACCTATTGAAAATGTATTATCTATGTATTAAAAACTGTATTTATTAATTTTATAAATATTTAATTCATTAAAAAAGTATTAATATATTAATACTATTTAAAAATTATTAATTTATTATTAATTAATACTGTAGTAATATTTTTAGTGTACGGTACGTTAAGAATAATGTAATATTAGATAATCTCAACTATTCAAACGTAAACAGCAACTATCTAGCCTCAATTTAATTCCATTTCATCAAGTTTCTTTAATTGATCGAATAGATATTGCAACTTACACATTTTGAAAATGTGCATTTCATTATCCGGGTCAAAACTTTCACTTCAATAATTAACGAGAGATGACGAGAGATGAAAAGGAAATATCCAACCATAGCTATTAATGTTAATACGCGTTCCAAATGAGATGACTATATATACATATATATATATATATATTTATATATAAGAAATTTTATCCATGGAATAAGTCACTAACATATGAATAAATAATTCNATATTATGTATGTATCATGTTGGTTTTTAAATAATATTAATACTATTGAGTAAAATCTAAAGGCTTTATCTATAAATGTAGCGGTAGCGCTGTAGCGGCAAAACCCCGTACCGCTACTTAAATATGTAGCGGGCAATACCGCTACCGCTACAATTGCTTAAATGTAGCGCCGCTACCGATCCCGCTACAACTGCTTAAATGTAGCGGCCGCGGCCGCTACCGCTACCGCTACAATTGCTTAAATGTAGCGCCGCTACTACTACTGAAAATGTAGCGGCCGCTACATGTAGCGCGCTACTGACCACCTCCGGTTATACATCATTAGATTTGTCTCAATGACCTTTTCAAAATTATGACTAACTTTTTGAACTACGAATTACACTTCATATTGCATGATTTTTTGATTTGCCGCCTCAAGGCAGCAGGTTTAGTTTCTAGTTATGCGTATTTATGACCACTTATCGAGTTATTGACTCCTGTCTTGCCAAAAGTTGATTTCAGTCAACACCAATGAGCCAGAAGTTGATGAGTTTTTATGCTGTTGGCTGAAATCACGATTAGGTACGAATTCTCTGCACATAATATCTGGATTATGGACGAAACTGGAACGAAATTTTTTTCTGGTCAATTAAATATATTTTTTCTAGTCAAGGATACATTTTTTCATGTCAAGGACGAATTTTTATAGCAAGGATGTATTTTTCATGTCAAGGATATATATTTTTATGTCAATGAAATAGTTTTCTTAACGTCAGTGATAGATTTTTTAAGCCAAGAGTATATTTTTTCAAGTTAAGGATATGATTTTTGAGTTGTTAATAAATGAATGAATGTCATTTTTATTACATTTTCTTGTTTTTAACTGTAAAGTGTTGTTTTATCTTTTTTAACGAAAAATATGCAATTGTGGCGAAGGGACCAAGGGTGAGCGCCTTGCCCCGAGCCCATTGCCCCAGGGGTGGGGCAATGGGCCCATTTTGACACTTTTTACAAAATAGTGTTTCATTAAAAATTGAATAACTATTGGCGTCTAATTCACATCATACATTATTTATTAGTTGTACCTTCAAACAAAACAAAGAACAACCTCGCATCAATTAAGGAGACCGTCTACCCTCCAGAAAAACTTCTACATTTGTCATATGATCTTGCTGAAATTTCATACACCTGCGTAAAATGTAAAATAAAAAACAATTTGCTCGTATAAATTTTTGGAAAAAATGAAAGAAAACGTGAAATTTATAGAAAACGGCCAAAAAGGGGTACATTAGAAAATCCGTCTCCTCCTACAAATATCGTGCTACTTAAACTGTAATTGTACAGCGTCAGATATGCACAAATAGCAGGTCATTAGCTCCTCAAAATATATCATGACTACTTGTTAATCAGAAATAATTTTCCTCCCACACTCCGCATCTTCTGCAGTTCACAGTTAAAATAATAATCACGCAGCATGAGACTTTCACAAATATGTCGTCTGGAAATATTCATGCCTATTCTCGCCGCAATTGGTGTGGCTGCACTGCTGTACGAGGTAAGCTCATTTTAAATGTGGCTCATGTTTGGTTCAAATTAAAATAAAATTGTTCCGGGGCCAACTGAATCTACCCCAGACAAATTTCTCCATCTCTATTATATATTAAACCATCGCAGGCTGTAAAACAGCACTAAAATTGTGGTGCAGTGGTATTTTTATGTGCAATGGGCAATGGTAATTGCAGTTTATGTGATCATTCATAAAGCTCTAGGAGCCACTACAAGGAATATTCCTCTAGGAGCCACAAAGATCACACCTTCAGAAGCCACAGCAAGATCTTGGCTGATCAGCCCGCGAGACAAAATTTTTAGCGCAGTGAACCTTTTTTCATAAACTAAACATGCACAAATTCTCCCGCACAAAATTTCGGAAGCAAATTTAACTCTGTTCGGCCAGGCGTTGTTCCTGATTATAATTTTGACGCAATAATTGCGCAACATTAAAATGCTCGCAGAATATAATATATATTGTCGTAACTCAAAAAATGAAAGTTTCATCTATAAACTGTAATTGAACGGCGTCAGACATACACAAATAGCAGATGATTTTGCTCCTCAAAGTGTATCTTGACTATTGGTTGTTAATTAGAACTAATTTTCCTCCCCCACTCCGCATCTCTTCCACTTCGCAGTTAAAATAAAAAAAAACACAGCATGAGACCTCCACGAATAAGGAGCCCGAAAATATTCATGCCTATTCTCGTCGCAATTGGTGTGGTTGCACTGCTGTACGAGGTAAGTTAATTTTAAATGTGGCTCATATTTGGCTCAAATTAAAATAAAATTTGCCCGGAGCCAACTTAACTGACCCCAGACAAATATGTCCATCGTTATTATATAATAAACCATCGCAGGCTGTAAAACAGCATTAAAATTGTGGTGCAATGGTATTTTTATGTGCAATGGGCAATGGTAATTGCAGTTTATGTGAGCGCTCACATTTGGTTAATATTAAGCCTAAATTTGCTTGACATTAATATATTTTGAATACTCAAATAATGATTAAATGCATATAATAATATTGACTTGACATGTTCGAACTAGTCATTCCTTGAGAGGAATTCGTATCAATATAGATATTTGTCCTTGCCTGTTTTCTCTTACTGCTGAGAAAATAATTTTTTAAATGTTGAACTATTTGAACAAAGATAATCATCGCCATGAAGTGACCATTTAATAAAGTGAGTTCGACGTTAACCCATTTAAATTATATTAATAAAAGTTCCTAAGTAATAAACGAATAAAATATAGAACTGCGGATGAGAAATGGTAACTAAACATTTTAAAAATTTTCATATTCCAGATGCACCGAGTAAAACTTCAGATTCCAACCCAACTACTGCCGCCTACAAACCACGGGAGTTCAGCAAGTGGAGCTCATAGCAGCGAAACAATAACTAATTTCTCAATGAATTCAATACGTTCAAAACAAATTATGGACATTAAAGAGCCGACAACGGACACAAGTCCTGTCCAAACCCGTCTGAAACTAATGCAGAACAACGTGAAGGACTTACCAATTGAGTCTACTGGAGGTGTCGAACATGAGGTGAACGAAGCGTGGAATGTCAACTGCAGTATCAATAATGAAAAATATCACACTAAGTTTATAGCACTAGCTTCCATGCGCCATACTGGTCTTTTTGACGATTATGCTTAAGTCCTACTTATAAATGAAGTTTTTTAGACGAACATAATAGATTAGTGCTTATTTTGGTATATCTGGTGATTTAGGAAGCCCAACCTCCAGGAAATTTACGTAGTGCACTCGTTTGTATCCGAAATATACACCGGGCTGCCAATTAAATTAATAACTCATCGTTGAAGATAAAGTTTGCCGAGAGACGGCAGCGGCTGCAGCTGGGATGCGACAAGCACCGCAACCAGGCGTCTTTCGGTGGCGTGGAACATTTCGGTGGCGTGCTCAGAAATCGTTTACTTTGGCTCAACCGGGAAAAGATCGTAGTGTGCATGATTGCTAAGGTTTGACTTAGGTTACAACTTAGAATTTTCGCTGCCGAATGAAATTCGGTTCAATTATATTTAGTAGATAAATGTTATTATTTAACCAAATTTACTTAGATAAATGACTTTCTTTATTGGCTCGGTATTAGTAATCAATACATTTTATTGGTAATCATTACATAATCATTTTTTTACCAGTCAAACTTCAAAAGACCAATTTTGGTGTAAAAAGTAAAATTATCACCTTTGAATTTGCTTATTCGTTAAAAAAATACATTGTTCTTGTACCCGTTTTTTTAATTAACAATTGAGAATTTCGAGATCAGGTCATCGTTGAAGATTTTTTGAGTGAAGAAATATAAACAGATGCCAATTATGATTCAGCATATCTGTGCTCTTTTCTCAGGTTGCCTCGTCCTCGTGGTGCAATTACCTTTTGAATCATTACCTTAACGGCTCATCAAAGAGTGAAGGATATGGTCATCGCGTTGCACAACGTCTGTTGGCTCCGCAGCCTGGCCTCACAGGGCAAGTGAAGCTCAATTTTACGCATTTTGATTTAGACAGGTTTGATGAATATATACTTTGTTTCATTGACAAGTTTTCTCATGCATAAACCAGTTTGTAGTTAGTGTAGAAACTTGTAATTTTATGGAAATGTTCGTTTATATCAATGTATACTCAACTAGTTGAGCTCTTACATTAATGGCCATTTCGAGATGAAGCTGTCTGACTGCATCTTGAACTGGCTTAATCGGCATATTTTAGTATTAACTAGAAAATTCCTTTTATTTTTGGGGTTGTGTTGGGAATTATTTTTAATTCGTTAATAAAAAATTAAAATGTAACATTTTACAGTCCACTAACTTCATTGCAAGAAATTTTGAACATATTTCGAGTCCTCAAAGGTTGAATAATCTTGTACGTAGGAAAGAAACGTTGCAACAACTCAACAGCTTCACAAAAATTCTTACTGTTCGTCATCCGTTTGCGAGGCTGGTGTCTGCCTACCGCAATAAAGCGGAGCCTTGCATCAATGAAACGTGAGTTCCAGGGCTGAGAATTAATGTCAGTGACATTACATTTGTTAAATTCTTATGTTCCCCTAGCATTTGATATATTAACTATTCTTTCAATGGCGTGAATTTATCCTTCTCCATTACCGATAATTACCTTCTCCATTACCGAAACATAATCTCTCCTCCTCCAAGCAATCAGTTAGATTGTTATTTCCGTGCCCTTTTTTTACCTATGTACTGCTCAGTTTACTTCACCTGCTCTGTATACCTTCTAATGACGTATACGTCATTATCTGCTTTCTCTCGTATGCTGTTGTGGTTGCTTCAGCCAGAACCCCTTCCGTTATAGCTTTTGCACTAATGACTTTGTATTCCCACTAACAAACACAAACAATGTAGCAATTGATTAAATTATCAAATAACTTCTATATATAAGCATATGGCAGCCGAGCGCTGGGACTATAACCGCTCATGCAACAGATAAGGAAATTGAAAAACGAATTTATTAAGGACAACGTCCCTATGGGCTCAAAAATAATCCCAAGGGGCAAAGAAAAATATATCGAATGCTAATAGACAACACTCACTACCAATACACATAACAAATGAGCAGTTCTAGATTGAAACTTATGCCATTCTGTTTGTGTTCCCGAATAACACGAAAAATGAAAGCACTCACAAATTTACGGAAAATACTCATATAAACAAAATACATTCAACCTCATCCAACTCGACATTCCATTCTCCGCCTTAGTCGGATCATTCATCGTCAAAACCCGGTAATTTTACACATCCATTCCAAATATATTTATCCGCTATTAAAACGAAGTCCAAATTAAACAAAGCACTACTCTTTATCACTGATACACACGAGTCTCATTTCAAATCTTTATAGGCTCTACACAAAAAAATGCAATATCTTGTCTTGCAATTTCCCCATCCTCGCAGTCTTAAACAAACAATCGCAAAAAACTGGTTGAGAACCAAATCATACGGTCCTCAGCTCTTCAACCTTCAAACTACGGAATCTTTGAATTCAACCTTCCAACACCATCAATTCAAAGATTCCGTACTGGGTCTTCAACCTCCATCCTTGTACACCTAACCACATATACTACAAGAATCCCACAACTACGACGGGCTACCAAAACGAGTTCACAGCCATAGCAATAGACAATTACTTGAATTGAAACTGACCAACGATAAAGGCATCACCACCCTAAGCCGCAAGCGTCTCTATCCTGCCATCAAGCATCTCTATCCTGCCATCGCAAGCGTCTCTATCCTGCCATTTTTTCATCATTAGCATCGTGAAAAAATCAGCATACCTAGTATTAATTAATATAAAAAAACCTGTAAAAATAAATGATTTAAATGAAAAAGCACTCAACCGTGCAATCTCATTAACATTTTCCAGCCCTAGTCAACCCCAATTTCTAACTGACCAACTCGAGCATCTCCCAAAGATCAAAGAATGCACGTAGCAACTTTTTCGTCTGCTTTTTAACATTTCATTTTCTTCTTAATTTTTCTGGTCATCATCTGCCCCCTCTTATATCCTACCTATTTTCCTCGAGACACCGCACACACTCAGTATATCACTCTAAGATAATAAATTTATATAAGCACACAACGACAACGTTACCATCCTTCTTCCTTGGCTTAGTGCTGAGTACCCAGGGAGTGATTGACGCTGTACGATTTTGCAAGCAACTAAATATTTTGTTCGCGCTGTACTTTTACTCATATAAACTCTGTTTTACAATTGAATCGAAATTTTCTAATTCTAAATTCCTGACATCAAATTAAAAGATATCTGATCATGAATTTTTTGTACGGATGGCATGCAGAGGAAGTATTTAAAATGACATTACCTTTTCACTAGGACATGCTATGTAAAAACCAGGAATATCCCACTATCGCCTAAGGCACTTTTCAAGGACTTTGCGGAGTATCTGATAGAGACAGTAAAAGTCCCTGTTCTGGCTGACGATGCCGCGTACCAGTCGTTCGACCTTCACTGGATTCCATATTTTCTCAACTGTAAAGTGTGTGACCTGAGCTACGAATATATCGTCAAAATGGAAACCTGGAACGACGATCTCAGGTGCGTCAGGGCTGAAAGAATTTTCATCTCAATTTTTATGTAGATGGTGGCCAGTGAACGAGGTGTTGACAGAGTCGTATTTTTCTGAACATATTCCCACAAATGACTGGGTTTCTCACTAATGTTTCTCAGTCTAACATATTCTCACTAATGTTTTAAAGCTTGTTGTAAACATATGCAATGCCTTCTACACTGCATTTGTTTTGGTTAAGAATGAATTAATACTGATCAGCCCATGTGCTTATTAGCTTTTGCCAGAATGCTACACTAAATTTGTATGTTTCCAGTTACCTGCTGCCAAAATATCACATCGAATATGTGGAGAAAGCCTACGGCGATATTTTGAACTCGAGCGATGTATCCTTTCAGTACTTCAAGGTAAGACGCAACTTTATCATCTATCTTCAAGGTAAGACGCAACTTTATCTTTTCATAAATTAGATGTTACAAATCACTTTTTTTAAGTACATATGTTGTGCCGAAATAGCGGAATTGCCGGTTCCATGGAATCAGCAGCACATTTGCCGAATCTGTAGAATCAGCATTCCTATACTATAGGAATCTGGGGTTGGGTCAGTGAGCAAAGTTTTTTTAATATTTAAACATATAGGAACTTGACCTAACCTTTTCTAACACTAGCAGTCAATTTATGTTCTAACTCCACCTCTATCATCCGATTTTTTAAATCAGCAACGAAATGCTGATTCCACAGATTCGGAAAACTGGCTGCCGATAGAATCGGCAATTCCGCGATTTTGGCACGACACATATACATATGTATATAGTCAAAAACGGAAGGTTGTAGAGGAGCGACTATTGGACAAGGCCGAAAAGTCTGATAACATATGATACTTATCATGAAACAATGCAAGTATTGTTACGCAGTATAAGTACTTAGAAGTGAATGCTACAGTTGAAAGTAAATAATTAACATATATATTTGTTACTAGTGGCGTTACAATTAATTCATAATACATAATACGAAAAAGCAGCATAAATAAACATTTGTTGGTAATCTCATGGTAATAAATTTTCTGACATTGGTAAAATTATTAAAGTAACATTAGATCTGCAATTTACGGTAACTCAAATATATTTCCAGTTCAATTTTTGTTATACTCACTCTTGTTCGCAGACGCTGCCAGAGTCGCTCGTCCTGAAACTGTACGAGATCTACAAGATTGACTTCGAATTGTTCGGCTATTCCCTGGATGGCTATTTGCAATGATTTAATAATATTTACATTTTACAATATTTAATGCATTTATTAATATTTGCAGCGACAGGCATTTGATATTGTTTGAAATATTACAGATTTGATAATATATGATATGTTTTTGATAAAATCTTGATGTGCATGTTGCGAACCAATCACTATGTGGTAGCTTCATGATATCTGAATAGAAACCAAGGTCTTAGTTGAGCAAATGTCCAATTGTTTGCTTACGACAACAAAATAATGATGACTCCATTTATCCTATCAAAATTTTGATTCCTGGCATCCGCTAGCTCAAGGACGCACCAAGCTGGCCTAGCGGTGTAAATTAGCGGCTCTATGTCCGCTTTAAGTTCTGGTTGTACGAGGAAAATAAGCACCTGATTAGGATACGGTCTATTCTTTGATAACCGCGGGTCGACTGCGGGGCGCGAGTATTTGGTATCCGATACGTTCGGGACAGGCACTGCCGAATCTGAAAAAATGCATTAAAAAATGCCCTCTCCCTTCCTCCCTTGATGGAGCTATGTAGACAGAAAAAGGCAAAAACAACGATGAGTTTCATTCTTCAAGCGTGTTTCCTGAACTTTTCATAATAATACAAAGCTTATTTCTGGAGCAGTGACGCATTTCCCTAAGTGAAAATAAAACGCCTTGTATCTTTTGACTCGTCCTTTCCACATTCGCAATATTCAGAGACGGGTATAAAAATCAAAGCTCGTCAGGATGGCATATATATATATATATAGTTTTTTATGAAAGAGCAATGTAGCTGCCATCTCAGCGAAAAATTAGATACATGTTTCATTTAATTCCGTGCAGGATTTTTTGCATGTTTCAGGAAGGCACTAGCGCCGTGTGTCATCTTATAGCAATGTTTAATTAGCCTATGCTACCAGACGCACAATGCTTTTCGGTAAAGGACCAAATGTCGCTACTGTATTTAACAAGCCTACTTTCAATTAGCAAATATTTTTGTCAAGGGATGCATATTTGCGTCTCCCAATAATCAATGGAATAATTAAAATGCTTGAAAACTTTATTATCAAGTTCTTATTCAGCCCTCCAAATGAAACATGTTTCTATTAGAACTCGAATGAAGGGAGAAGTTCCTGTTTAGGGAGGAGTTTGTACCTATCTCATTAGCTTATTTAATTTTGAAGACTACAAGATTCATTGTACGTAGAATTTCATCATCACTTTCGATGAACTTTAAATAAGTTTATCTTGACCCGAACTGCTACTTCGGCACTTGCGTAAAAAATCATTTTCCTGAACTTATCTAATATGGTCCTCTATTTTCTATTCATAAACATTAATATTCAGCCAGTATGCATGAATGATTAATCTCAAAGATATATCATTGCTATATTCCTTGTTCTACCGCTTGTCAGGTGTAGCCGCTTGACAGTTGGACCTACCTAACGAACAGCCAACAAACTACAGAAGCCAATAAGCCAATAAATTACAAAAGAAACATTTAATGTACCTAAGGCAATCAGTACGAAAAAACTACGTAAATTCAATGAACAATGTCCTAATTAATGGAATAACTGCTTCGAAAGGAGATAACTGTATGACTTCGATATAGTTTTAACATTTTAATATGTCAGCCTATTTGGGTGCTCGAAACTCTAGAGTCTAGATGATCTGCGTAAAGCAAGTTCGCTGGATGCCTTGCGGGGCCTGGAGGCGTACGTAAGGCACATACATTCGCTGGTGTAGCTGGTCCCTGAACTGTTCTCTATGTTAATGGGTTGCAAGCTAATTGGTAATTGCTTTTCGGCGAGTCAATTTACATTAGTCTTAACCCTATTTATAGAGCAAAATGGTCAATATTAGTGATTAATATTTACGAATTATGTTGCGAAATTAAATTAATTAATCAAATTGCCGTCATAAATAAGAATTAGGCCTGAGTGTAGCTTTAATCGCTTCGTCTCCAATGATTAGAGTTTTGTTCGTGTCAAATGATCTTCTAGCTTGAGGAGCCACCCGCTCGTGGCTAGCAACGCATGAACACGATTCTTAGTAATGGCAAATGACTAAGTATTGCTTATATAGTCATCTACGCGACAGCAGATAGCTGAATGCAGGAATTGAACGAAAGTGAAAGTTAGGTTCGAGGGCTGTAAGCAAGATAGTTCAATCTCCCCAACCCAACCCACATTTGTTGCTTCATAAGCAAAGCGGCAGTGCCTGTTGAAAATGCGTAAGTCATTCTCGGAAGTAAAGCATTCTCGAAGAGATATAATTAAAAAATATATCCACTTCGCAAATTACGAGAATATATCGCTAATAGGTATTCCTAGTTAGTGAAACCCTGAAGTGTCTCACTAAGTGCAGGCATGATCACAAGTGCCAAATTTCATTTCGATGTACCAATTCGATGTTATTGGGATTTGAATATCGAATCATTATAGATAAAAATATATACAGCTTATTTATGTAAATTATTAATGCCTTTATATGAGAGCGATGGTTGGCAGTATGTCATAGTCTACAAAAGTTTTGACCAAGGAACAGCCTTTCACGTGAAGTCGTGAAGTGCTGCCCTTCCCTTCTACAGCCCTTCACGAAAGGTCGAGCTGACCAAACAGCCTAGTCCGCGTGGTTATATATTAGCCTACCTATCCATTGCCGGCATCCAACGCCGGCAATCAGAAGATTCAAGTTTTCAAACACCGAGAAACCTTTATTTGTACGGTCATCAACACGATACGGTCACAGTTGTCGTCAGTAACGGTACGGTCACTATCACCAACAGTAGAAGTACGGCAATGAGCTTGGAGTAACATTATCGACGATGAAGACTTCACTCATACACAGAAGTACGGTCTTTATAGAACAATCTACGACTAAACTGACCGTGAGACATCTACAGTGGGGGGAAATAAATATTCGTACACTTGAAAAATCGCATTTTAATGTATGAAAGTACACAAACTTAACAAGAAAAGTGATTTAAATTATGTATAGAGACGCATAGTATTCAAAAATACTATCAAAAGAAATTAAATCTCAATGCAACAAGGGTCTCGCAACCATTTTATCTTGTACACGAATTAATAATGCAAATGTTCCTGATACTTCATTCGCGTTCGGCTCCAGGCAAAACAGAAAATAGCAGCAACACCTTTTTCCTCTGCAGGAAAGCTTTCAACGCTTTTAAATTTACGTTTGTCATACATTTGGCAGGTGAAACATATTATCATATTCTGATCAAAATTCTAGTGGCACAATCTCAATCTTTCCATTATAATCCCGTCAGCAATTGACTATGTTACGCTAGGTATTAAATTTCTGCTCGAATGTTTAAAGCAGAACTAAATCCTTTTACATCTGTATAATATGAAGAAAGAATGATGGAGTCATTTGTTAATAAACATTCTTCAGAACATCAACTAGTTGCATAACCATTATACGGTGCCCAAATGTTGCTAAAGGTTCCTTGTCTGCTTAATATTCCGATCAGCAGGAGCTGAACCTTACAAGTACTTTGGGACGGAAGAACTTTGAGATTTTAGAATTACTTGATTATGTCTGTTAACTTATGACCTTATGATGAGTTTAGGACTTCTCAGTCCTCGGTCACGCTGATGCGCCGCCTTCGTCGTCCTCCGTCTCCGAGTCGTCACTAGGTAGGTCGTTACATCGGGACGCGGATGTAACGTTGAACGTGTTCCGGGTATTTGCGCTCCTTTGGGCCAGCTGATGCAAGATGCTGTTGCTTGTCACTTGCTTAGGGTAGTTTCCCATAACCAGACGATCAGGGATCTTCTTCAAAAACTTATCCAGTTGTCTCTTGAAAGTCGCAAGGATAAACTCCCCTCCTCTCAGCACCTTTGGTAAGGCGTTAAACAGCCTTGGTCCTACCGCGGACAGTGATCCCTCACGAAGAGTCTGTAATCTGGCCGCGGCTCTGTTATTAAATGCGGGAATTCTGCACTGTCTCCCCTAATTCCGTTGTAATACGTCACAATTTTAGATGTATCACTTTCCAATTTGGGAGCCAGGTTGGTTATCATCTTCCAATTGTACAGTATATTCTGTATAATGTTTTATAATAACTCTCCGTAATGACATGTTTTTGGTCCAACGTCAGCAAATTGCAGGCAGGATTGATAACTTGTTTTGTTCTTTGCTAATAAATATAACAATTGAAAGGAATACCAACTTGAAATAATTCAGATAAAAAATATCACAATTTCTCTAGTAATGTCGCAGGATATATTTTAAATTACCTTTATCAATTTTTGTCCGGCTTCTAATGACAGCGATGCTCACACCATATTCCTTAACGACGTAAACTTTAAGTCGACGTAATGGTAATGATGATGTAAGCCATTAATGTTGCGTCGTAATTGCTGTCATTTAAATGATATTCATTCACCATTGAGCGACTCCAGATAACGAAACCGAAAGCTCTCAGTTATGGAAATCGAGGCGACCTCGCGCGTCTCATAAACGAATAATTAACGTGTGGAAAATATCGTCAAATTACTCTACCACTTTTGTTCCTGCGGTCTATATGAATTAGCTACGTTTTGAATGTGATATCAACATTTTGTGACTTTACATTCAAATAAAATAAAAATTATTATTTTAAATTCTTTGTTCTGATTGTCGGCAGCTACCGCTTGCTCGCAAATGCTCCGTGGACAAAAGCTTAGCAGCTGAGCGAGCGTAGTCTGGAAGTTTCCACGTGCCGGCAGGACGCTGTGAAGCAGCTATAATGCTTTTATGAGACGAATATGAGGCAGCCAATTATTCAAACCTCAACAATGCCACAGACGGCAAATTTTCCACTAGAAAGAACGAGAGATATCACGAAAAAATTAATTAAATTATAACAACAGGTGCATATAGGACGTTGAGAGCAGGATCGCAACAGGCGACGTTGAGAGCAGGTGGGATTACGGCCGTAGCAATTAATGATATTCATTACGTGATATTCCTAGTGTTACATTAGAAACATTATGAATTTGTCTGATTTCTCGTATGTATATATTCCGATAATTGCTGTTGGTATTGTATTGAATACGCGAATTATATACTGACTGAGATTGAAATGAGTACAATGCAAGCATGTGCCCTCAATCTTTGACCAATTAAACCGGCTCCTGAATATTTTCTTGTTTATTTTCAAAATAGCTGAGACAATGTCAATAAACAGCATTGACTCGTAATACAACATCGCAATGAAAGAGTTAATTGCGATGAAGTTCTTGAAATCTCTCTTTACCGTCTTGTGATTCGAAGAAAAATTGATTGCTGCAGGAAAACGTCATTTAATGTCGATAAAACAGTACAAGATTGATATCTGCTGATTTCGCCAGCTGATTGTTACGTACAGATATATCATTGTTGATGTGCAATTTTATTAATAATACTCCATTTATGTTATTAATTTAGTATTAATATTATTATTATGGAGTATTATTAAATTATATCTACTCAGCCAAAATCATGTAGAGGTCGAATGACTCAAGAGTTCGATGGAAAATTGTCAACACCTTACTTGTAAAAAATGTTGCTAACAAAAGAATTGAATTGTTAAAAAATAACAAGCTAATTTCTGGTAGCGAGGCAGCAATTGAATTTAACAATGTGTCGCGTGAAATTCCTATCTGTGAGGCATCAGGCTTCCTTTTCCCCACTTCTGAACTTGAAATTAAGGAATTCTTACGGTTGTGCAAGGGCAAGCCACTTCAGATCGATTAGGTTTAGTCAAGCATGTTGTATCTTGTAGCTGACACTGTTGCACCAGTTTTGGCTCATATTTTTAACCTATGTATGTCGTGTGGTGTATAAACCGATTCACTGAAACGTGCTCGCGTCATACCTATTTTTAAATCCGGTGACCCGCACAATGTCTGGAATTATCGTCCAATATCAGCTTTGCCATTTCTTAATAAGATTTTTGAAGAAATCCTGCATTATAGACTCACAAAACTTTTCAACAAGTTTCCAATAATTTCTGACGATAAGTTTGGTTTCTGTAAGGGAACCAACACAACTATGGCTATATTTTATTTAG